AAAATTGTCTTTATTAAATTTAACACGGTGTACACTGTCTCGCTGTTTTTAACAACGCTTCATTTTTAAGGAAACCAGACATTAAAAGAGGATGTATTGATGACAGCTTCTTCTCCAAGTTCAACACCTGCAGCAGATGAGGGGCGGTGCACTGCTGATACCAGTGATGGTGTTACATAAAAAGAACGATGAATAAACGGAATATCACAGTGAATAAACAGCTGCTTTTATGTGAAATGTCGTTCAGAACATTCGTGTTTGCATGATTTGAAAACTATTAATTAAATTTCAGATACTGCTTTAAAAAGTAGCCTCTGAAAGATGATTACTTTTGATGTTTCAAGTCTTTTGTGCAGTTTTTCCTGCATAAGCAAATATTAATTACTAGTCAGTTGAAGGCATAAGTGTTAAAATTACATTCAAGTAAAAAGTCTTACAGATGTTTTTAAAAAAAATGCTGTCTTTAAAGGAAAATGTTCGATAGGTCACATGATTTAAAACACACACAAAAAAGCTTCCTGTCACGCTTATGCAACGTGCGAGAACCACAGAGAATAAAACAGCAGTTAACAGCTCAATCACTTAAAGCTGTGTGACACTGTTACTGTATTTAACATTAGCCGACATGTTATGACAAATAATTATTTCATTCATTACAAAACACTGTGGGGAACAACACTATATTTGTGCCGACCACAAACCTGCTCAGTGGCTGTTTCAGCAGTTTTTGACATTTACACTCATGATTCAGCTTTGACTGTCCTACAAAAGGCCCCTTTCACAGCAGAAAGGACTGCTTGTATCGTTGTTTGTCGTTTTCAAATGCAAGTTCACTACTAAAAGGCATTTTCAGAGACAAACTTATCCCATCTTCTCTGCCACAGAGACAGTGCTTTCTCCTTTTGTTCGGGACTCAAAGAACTATACCTGAAACACAGACACGGGAACATCAGTCACCCAAAAGCATGCTGGCGCAGACAATGCAGCTACAAGTCACATCTTAGCAGAGCTTCACCTGATAGAGTTTATGGCCAGCTGTTTAAGGGAGCCTACATGGGAGCGCATGCCCCCCAAACCAACGAAAGCTTCATAGAAGTCATAAGAGAGGCCAGATGCACCAAATATGGCGGGGTCATCAGAGCTGATGACAACCGGGTGGTTTTCAGACATTAGTGCAGCAGCTGGATGGTTTCGCAAGTCTTTGACCAACTTCAACACCTGGGTAAG